TCTGCTGGCAGGAGCTGCTGGAGGTGGCATTCCATGTGTTTTCCAGCACGGTGCAACACAAGGAGCTGCTCTTTGGCAACAGGTTATGGATTTGTGGGCTGGGAAGCAGGCACCAGTCAGGTTTGAGTGCAAGGCAGGGGCTGGGGTGAACCAGATCCTCCAGGAGATGCAAGACAGGTTGCAGGTTGTTTAACCACCCCCTGGTTCTGCTTGTTTAAGCTGCCATCACAAAAATGCACATTTTTAGAGACAATGCCAAAAGCTGCAAACTGAGTATGAGGGGAGAGCAGGATGAGAGATTTGACAACCCTGATTCCAGCAGCAGCCAAGCACAGACAGACTTGTCTCTTTTGCTGTATTCATGTCATCTCAATCAGGTTTAATAAAGTATTAGCTGAATTCAGGGGAAGGGAGCTGACCCTTATTGCTCTTGGTTGGAAAACTTTAAAAAATTCATTATAGGCCATCACTAGAGGTGTCACTCTGCCCTTCATCTCTCTCTGCCTCTCCTGTTCCCAGCTCATCCTGCCTCGTGTTTTATGTGCAGAACCACAGCTCACCTGGAGTTTCCACCTCCAGACCTTCCAGAACCAGGGTTCAGCTGCCCCACACTCACAAGACTGGTTTTTTTAGCTAAACTAGTCTGAAAACCAAAATGTGCTTAATTTTTATTTGAATTTTAGAAGACCTCCTGGACACCTTTTTTATCCTTTCACAGTTTTAGTTCACAAGAATGAAGGCCACTTTTTTTAACCTGTTTTAACCTGCTTCACTGAATTTGTATATTTATTTTTACAGCTTTTCTTCATAAGAATAAAGGACACTTTTCCTGATCTGTTTTAACCTCCTCAGTTGAACTCATACATTTATTTAGCTCCAGAAATTGGGACTCCTTGCACTCATTTCACCTGCTGCAAAGTTCACAACAGCAGAAAGAGCTGGCATCACTTCAAAGTTGAGATCACTGCTGAGGTGCTGCTTTCTGGACTTTACTCCTTGTGCAGCTACATTAATATAACTCTTATTTTCAAAAATAATTTGGTTAATGGCTCCAGGAATGGGTTTAGTGTTTGAGGTTTATTTAAAGATAGTGGTTACAACACTGTGCAAGGTAACCTTGATGAAAAAATAGCCCATGTTTTGAATGTTAAAAAAAAAAATCCCTGGAAGGGTGAAGACAATACCCTATAAATTAGGGATATAAATTGAAGACATTTCCTATAAATTAGGAATGTTGGTCACTGGGTTACTACAAACCATGTCAATCTGAATATTGAAGCATGGGAGGAAATACTATTTTAGTGCATAAAAAATCATCACAGGGTGAGTAAATCCCTCTCAGGAAAGGATGACAATGTCCTATTGAACCCCCTCCCCGAGTTATAGGGTGATTGTAATCCTATAAATATCCAGTTTGGAGAGATTGACTGAGACTGGTGCCGACAATTCTGCCCCCCCCTGTGGAACAGGAGACATCACTGGGGTTGTAGGGGCTGTGGGGGGCAACCAAAAAATGTCTCTGCTCTGGGCCATGAATTATGGAGAAAGCTGGAGACACCCAGGTCTGGTTAATGTGACAAAAGGGAGAGTTAAAGGGCAGTATCCCAGAGATACAGAGTGTCCTGGAAGGGAGGAATTAATGTGGATGAGCTGGCAGAGACAGTTAATAATTGAAGAGCCACAGGGAACGGGCTGACAGGACCTTCCGGGGCAGGTCCGAGGATCTGGGTGCCACAGGAACAGTTTGGAAGGACTGGGATTGTTTCTTGGTCCTGCTTTCCTTTCTCTTGTTGTTGGAGACGGGGGTTAGTGCTGGAAGTGGGAATAGTCACCCAATCCCAGTGCTCCAGGTGTGCACTGCATCCTTCCTTCCCCTTTCTAGGCTCCCCATCCCTGGAAGTGTCCAAGGCCAGCTTGGAGCAGCCTGATCTATGGAAGGTGTCCCTGCCCATGGCAGGGGGTGGGACTGGACGAGCTTTAAGGTCCTTCCAACCCAAACCAGCCTGGGATTCTGTGATCCTGTGGTGTCACCCATGATCCCATAGTGTCACCCATGATCCTCACTGGAGCAAGTAATCAGAGGAAAATGGGTTGTGGCAGACCTGGCAATTCAGGCCTGAACCCAGAGGACGGAGGTGCTGGTTTATCACAGTCCTGAGGCCACACAAACAACAACAAAGAGCTCTGGTGGCAGCATGGTCCCTGAGGTTTGGGGGTTTGGGCTTTCATTTACCTTTTAAACACCGATTTCTAAGCGGTGACCTGCATTAAAAGCACCTCCCGGTGCTCATTTGCATTTGAAGAAGAGAAGTTCAAGCTCTGAAACTCCAAATTGTGCGTGGAGCTGGGGCTGATGAGCCAATATTTACACTGGCTTCATTTTGGGGACTAAATGGCATTTTAGTCCCGGTTTAATGAGGGAGCTCTGCGCATGCCCCTGTGCTGGTTTGGACCTGCTCTAATGATCTGGGGGAGTGGCTGCGCTTTAATGATGTGCTTTAATAATTTATCAATAGAGTTTGTAAGTGCTAATTTGCACTTTTAGGTGCACATTCTCCTTTTGAAGCCGCAGTACAACCCCCTATTAATGTTAATGGGAGTTGTGCTCACATTAAAAGGAGATTATACCCCCAAGGTGTTTAACATCTGACTTACCCAGGTCTTAAATTGCATCGCTGAATGTCACTCCTTTCATATGGCAAGATGGCTTTTGGTTGTGCTGTCACCACACCAGCGCAAAGGCAGAGACAACTTCAAGGGAGGGAAAAAAAATTGGGAAGTGGTAAGTCAGTGCACCAGCCTTGACTTCTTGGTCTTGGGCTTGAATCCAGTTTCAGCACGAGGTTGGTGATGGAGCAGCTCCGTTGAGACGTGGCCACCAAAGGCGACGGCGTCACCCTCGGCGGTCACGGGGGCTGCTGGGATGTGGGCAGGGGGTTAATTTATATCCAGGAAGAAGGAGAAGGCCAGTAGTGTGGAAGACAGGTTTCCTGCACGGGTTGAGTGTTGAAGAGAGGCTCTAATCACTTCTGGGGGCAGTTTTTGCCGTGGCGTCAAACGCCGGCGTTCCGTGTTCATGGACTGACATCCAATTAAGGGGAAGGAGGTGAAGGCCTGTATTTATCAAATCACTTAAGCAGAAATTTAAACCCTATTTACTTGGCTGGAATTAATTGGGTTAAATGACACGTCTAAGGATCGATGCAGGAGGTTTTCAACTCTTCACCCTTTCCTAAGCCCACACCTACTAATAACTGGGATTTGGGAAGATAAACGGAGAAGCAGGGAGTTATTTGGGGTAGGCTGGTTTGCACAGGGAAGCTGATGCAGAGAGGGGTGTGCAGACAGAGGGGAGAGGATTAATTAGGTACTGAAAGCCATCTTTTTCCCCAGAAATGGTATCAAAGCTGGTCCCGGCTCGACCGCTCACCTGAGGTCTTCAGATTCACCCTTAACTCCTTTGCAGGGGTTTTGGGAGGGAGTAAATTATATCCCTGGTGTCAGATGTCCTGGCTGTGTGTCCCCAACTGCTTGAGCACCCCCAGCTCCTCACTGGGGGGTGAGGAGCAGAAAAGCCCTCGATGCTGTGTGAGCCCTGCTCAGCAGTAACAACATCCCTGGGTTACCAACCCTGTTCCCAACACAAATCCAAACCACAGCCCCATCCCAGCCACTGTGAGGAAAATTAACTCTCCCCCAGCCAAAGCCAGCACGCGTTAATCAGGAGTGAGGCAGAGCAGGCTGAGCCTGCTCATGAATTATGCATTTGCCCCACCTGGGACTTCATATTTACCATATCTTGCTGAAATCCATTAGGAAGAACAAACATTGTATTTATCCAACAAGCTCCAAACCCGTTCATTTGCATCCCTGCCTGCGAGGGGCAGGTCCGAGGGCGGCTCCGGGGTGAGCCGGGCTCCGAAGGGTCGTGTCCCGAGGCAGTGGCCTCCGGAGGGGGAGGCTGAGCTCAGGCTGGAGCTGCTCAGCACCGGGATCCTGGAAACCCCTCGGCTGGACGCGCGTGGGAACCCCCCCCCGTGGGACCCTGACTGCAGGTGATGGGCAGGGAGGAGGAAAGACTTGAGCTGAGATATGTGTCTGCACACCCTGTGCTGCTGCTCCCCCAGTATGCTCAGCACCCCCAGCACCCCAATACCTCCAGTGTCCCCAGTACCTACAGTTCCCCAGTACCTACAGTGTCCCCAGTGGCCTCAGCACCCCCAGAACCTGCAGCACCCCAGTGCCATCAGCACTTGGAGCACCCTCAGCAACCCCAGCACCCTCAGTACCCCCAGCACCCTCCGCATCCCAATACCCCCAGCACCTCCAGCACCCCAGTAACCCCAGTATCCTCAACACCCCCAGCACCTCAGTACCCTCAGCATCCTAATACCTCCAGCACACTCAGCTCCCCAGAGTCCTCAGTGCCCACAGCACCCCCAGCACCCCCAGCACCCCCGTTTCCCCAGCACCAGCAGCATTCCCATCACCCCAACACCTCTGGCCAGGCTGGGGGAGCCTGACCCGGGAGCCCCCCCAGCTCCTCCAGCCCCTGCACAAGCCGAGGCCGGGTTTGGGGAAGAGGGAAAGCAGAGAAAACCTGTTTTTAAAGAGATCGATGGTGGGAGGCAGCGGCAGGAGAGGCTTCTAAGCACATTTCATCTGCGGCCCGTCCCGTCCCCGCAGGACGCGCCGGCCGAGGCTCCGAGAGCCGCCGCTTCAATCGCTGCGCCAGCGCCGCGTTTGAAGATGCCAGGGGAGAACGGGGCTCTCTGTGAAGCGAGATTGAAGCAAATAGACTGTTCCTGTCCCTGCGCAGAGACTCGGGATCTTTAAAGCCTCCACAACCCCCCCCCCCCCAAACCGGCACCGCTCCCTTCCCAGAGCGCGGCCGTCCCGGCGCTCCGAGCCTGCCTCACCTGCCCGGGCTGGGCTCCAGCACAGCAACACGGCGGGGCTGGCAGGCTCAGGAGTCCACGGGAGCACTTGAGAAACCCTTTTCCTCCTTTCTTCCTGCTCCTTCTTTCTTCCTACCTAACTGAATAAGAAAAAAAATGATAAAAAGAGAACTTTTTGCCTTTTTTTTTTTTTATCTGACAACGTATGGAGAGCAGTCGCAGTGGTTTCTGCAAAGCAGGAGCTCCAGCGTCACCCGGGGTCTCCTCTGCCCACCCTGGCAAACCCTGGGCAGGTCCATGCTGGGCTGAGATAATCCCCATCCTCAGCAGCCCAGAGGACTCTGCAGTGATGGAATGGAGAAAGAAAATGGGAAAACTCCTTCCTGAATAGCGGGGATGTCCCATAATTGAAGTGGGGTCTCTACAGAGCACATGTATGAGAAGGGGGAATGGCTTCCCAGTGCCAGAGGGCAGGGTTAGATGGGATATTGAGAAGGAATTCCTGGCTGTGAGGGTGGGGAGGCCCTGGCACAGGTTGCCCAGAGAAGCTGTGGCTGCCCCTGGATCCCTGGAAGTGTCCAAGGCCAGGTTGGAGCAACCTGGGCTAGTGGAAGGTGTCCCTGCCCATGGCAGGGGGTGGGATGAGATGATCATTGAGGTCCCTTCCACCCCAACCCAACCTGTGACTCTGTGATTGATGGCACTGAAAGAACAAGTGGTTAAATATCGATATAAATATTTAGACTCCACTGACGGCCCCGGTGCCTGTTTGCTCCAAAGCCTCCCGGTGGAAAGTTTACCCGACATGATCTGCAAGTTAAACAACTTTTCAAAAGACTCACCGGGGGACACACAAAGGACCAAAAACTCTCTGTATTGTCACGGGGCTGTGCTTTAACCCTGCCACCCTAAAAATGGGTGGTGGGTGTGAGCTGGGCAGGGCTGGGCAGGGGGTGAGGGGGCAGCGGGGTCCAGAGCCATTCCCAGTGCTGCCAGTGGGCTCCCGGTGGCTCCCGGCAGGGGTGGGCACTCCCCACAGCCCGGGGAGAGAGCAGGCACATGAAAGCAGGGCTGGATTTGCCTTGCAATGACAGCTGCATATTAATCTAAAGAATTTCTGAAAAATCAAAAAGACATTTTTCAGCAAAATACACCCCTAGAGCCTCAATCCTAAAGCAAGGGAATAAACTTGAAACAGGATTGATTTCATCTTAAAGGGAAGAGCTCTTTGAAATGCTACCAGCTGCAGTTGTCTTATTTGGTTTTCAATACTATAACAAAATTGTGCCATATTGTGTCAAATAAGGAGATAATATAACAGCTTTAAACAAATTTTGTAATTATGGGATCAATCAGAAATGAATTAAATCCATGTGCATTAGAAAAGTGGTGCCACTGAATACTGAGTAGCTCCAAATACCAGCTCTGAGCCCATCTCCAATGGCAGAGCTGGACCTGGGAGTGTGGTGTGACACCAGCCAGGGGATGTGGGAGATGTGGGAACTCCCAGTGAGTGCTCCTGGGCTGGGGAGAGGAGCACAAGGCGTCGTGTCCTGATTCAGAGCTAAAAACTAAAGTTATAAACTTCACAAACCTGTGCCAACAGAGCAATGCCCAGCACCAGCAGCACCTTCTGTCCCCTGTGCCAGTGGCTGGGGGAGGGCTGGGGCAGCTCAGGGTGGTTTTGTAGCTGGCAATGGGGACGCTGATCCCGCGTGGGAGTGTGGTGGGGACACTCCTTTGCTCGGGGTGTTCTCACTGCCTCAGTCCCAGGGTTGAAGGTGGGGTTGTATTCCTGGAGTCAGCTCGGATGGAAAGCCACTTCTCTGTTAAGGTTGTGTGCCCCACACAACCCCTGAATTCCTGGGAATTTATTTTGGGGAATGAGCCCCCATGGCAGCCCAGGGTCAGGTGTCACCCTGCCTGTTGGGTCATGGCCAGAGTCCCCTCCCAGCCCATCCAAACACGTGTGGCCAAGCCACTCCACAAAAACCCTCTTAGTCAAGAGCAGGATGGATAAAAACCTACACAATGTGTTTCTGGGGCATCACAGAGATTACTGGAAGAAAATACACATGGAACAGTGTCACTGCTCCCACGAAAAGCTCCACGGTGGGATCCTGCCCATCCGGCGCTGCCCTGCCTGCTCAGAGCTCTGGGGCCCATCAGCTCCTGCCACTTAATTACCTGTTAATGAAGTTTTTATGCAAATGAGGCACCGAGTGGCCCTTCCAGCCGTGATGTGGGCACAGGGTCAGCTTGGGAGCTGCAGGGAGAGGGGACCCGGGTGCTGCAGGAGCAGGAGCGGATCCTGCAGTGGGAGCAACGAGCCAAATCCCTGTGTGAGCCCACCAGGGACTAATAAAACTATTATTTGGAAGAGCTTTTGCATATTTAATATTCTTATATAAACTGGAGCATTCCAAATCAGGCATTTCAGCTGTTTCAAAGGATGAGGAATGCTGTCGGGGAATAATGCATCAATAGCTGGAATGCTGCACACACTCGCTTTGCTGAGGCTGTTTCTGCACCACTTGAATAATTCTGTTGATTCCTCCACTTTAACATAAAATTCCTATTTGAACTGCTTTCTCAGAAGCTTCTGCCACAGCTGGAGGTACAGGATGAGTCAAAACAAGAATATATGAACACAGGGAGCACAGGAAGGGGGGACTGTGTGCAGGAGTGCTCATCATCCCTCCCGAAAATTTGGCTTTTCATTTCTTTGTTTGATTTCCCTTTTTCCACATTCCCTTCAGATTCCTGTTTTCCTTCAGGGCAACTGAAGAGCTCGGCTGGGACAGGGTTTGTATGGAGCATCAGGAGCCCAAGTTCTGTGTGTCTGGGAAAAGCAAACCTCATTTACTCTTTTGGAAAGCAAATACCAGCAGTGTGAGTGATTAGGAGCTGAAAAATTTTGCAAACCCCAAAATTATCAATAGAATTACCAAAAAAAAAAAAAAAAAATCCCTCTCCCCCCACCTTCCACCCTGAGCAGAACCCAGGAACCCCAAACTCCTGGAGATGAGGGGACCCAGAGAGCACTGTACCCCAACAGCAGCACCACCAGTGAGAAGTAACCATTCTCCTAAAAGCTGGAAATTTAATGTCCTAAAGTCCAAAAATGCCTTTGTTTGGTTGTTTTCAAAAGGACTGAATAGTTGTTCCTTCCATCTTCTGCAGGGTATCCTGTCCTGGGCACATCTCTGGGCACTGCACCCCTCACACCCCTGGGGCTGCTCCCCAGAGCAGAAACATCTTGGGGGATAATTCTGAGAGGAGCTGGGTCTTTTCCAAAGGAATTTCCAAATCTCCTCCTCCTCCATGTGTTTTATTGACTGGGGTCTTATTACTTAAAATGATTTATGATGAATTTGGGCTGATGCTCCTCCCTCAGCAACACTTCCTAAATACTCAGTAATTGCTCCAAAGACAAAACTCGGATCTGAGAGCAGATGTCACCCCTCTCCTCTGGCTGGTGCCTGCATTTTTAGTAAAAAAAAGGGGAATTTTCAGTAAATGAATGTTTAGAGTGCTCCTGAGTGGGCTGTCAGTAATGGAAATGCTTTTCTTCTGGAATACTCAGAGGATACATGTTGCTCCTGAGCAAGCTGGTCTGTGGAAGGTGTCCCTGCCCATGGCAGGGGGTTGGGATGAGATGAGCTTTAAGTTCCCTTCTGAGCCAAACCATTCCATGATTCTGTGGTGCTGGCTGGGAGGCAGCCAGGGAGGAATCCTCAGCAAACCAGACTTGCTTTATAATGAATTTATAATAAATTTGGGGTGAGGGGACAGCCGGGGCTGTGGTTGGGCCGTGATTTAACCCAGACTGGAGACACCAGCAGTGTTTGGGTGCTCATGTGCTGATGGGCTGCACTTCCACCAGCTTTTGTTTGCTGCCAGGGGCACGGGAATGCTGGAGATTCCCACATGTTTCAGATGAAGGATGGCCACGTGCAGCTGGTGCTTACAAGGCTTTACATCGCTCTGGATTCCACATCTGTCATGCTGGTTATTAAGGCTGGGATTACACTGCACTGCTCTCTAACAGGGAGATGCATGGCAGAGAGGGGAGTGCCATCCCTGCTCCTGCCCAGGACATTGTTTTCCCATATTTCTCCGGGAAGATCACACGTTGTAATCGCTGTGTACACTGTACCCTGTGAAATGATCCCCATTTGTTTCATACAATAGATACTGTGTCGTTTAATTAATTTAGACTAAAGAGGAATGATCAAGCATTCACTAACAACTTTACCTTTGGGACTGGAAATGAAAAACCCTTGTGCTGTGCAGCAGCCAGAGCCAGGAGAGCATTCCTGGAGGGAAGGTTTGCATAGAGAGGGAAACGGCCCCTGTGCCCCTTGCTACCTAATGAAACATGTGAGTTCATACAGGCAGTGCAAAGCTGGCAAGAAAAGTCTTTCTATATTATAGAAGTGAATTCATTAAAACAAACAAAGAATTTAAGCAGAACTGGGGGAAAAAAGTCCTGGACAACCCCATAAGAACATAGGACAGACCCACAGAAATGATGCCAGTGACTGAAGGAGCCACCCACAGGGAACCAGCCTGACCAAGGGCACAGCCAGTACCAGCAGAGCTCCTTCTTTTCCTGATACTTGGCTTTTTGGGGTGGTTTTTCTTTGTTCTCAAACGAACAACAGGAAAGCATAAAGATGCCCCTGTAATGATGATGTTTATGGTGCAGCAAACCCGTGGCTGCCCGGGGTGGTGCTGCCTCCTCCCAGCATTCCCGTCCCTGCAGAACCCGGCGCTGTATTATGGAGATTTCTGCACACCTTGGGCCATGAGTATTGACCAGCCCTCACCCCTCCCAGCTCCTCATTGACCCACGGCACAGCACAGGCTTTTTTGAACATAAAAGCATCATTGACAGCCCTGTCTCACTCCCAGATATTGGTTACCCACGTGCTCCAGGAGACTTTCAAACTTGCCGCTAATTAGCAGCACGCTGGGAGGCCAAGCCTGCAGCCAGTTCTCCCAGCTCCGGGTTTGCTGCTCCCACTGGAGGCATTCCCTGAATCCTGGCTGCACTGGGTGGGAAGTGTTCAAAAGCCACGTGGATGTGGCACTTGGGGACACGGGTTAGTGGTGGCCTTGGCAGTGCTGGGGGAATCGTTGGGCTCAAAGGTCTCAGAGGGCTTTTCCAACCTAAATGAACCTCTGATGGATGTTGAGGTCCAACCCTCTGCTTTTTCACTGATCATTGTGCCTTGGGCACATCCCCTGCCCTGCCCGACAGGGGTGACACCACCACAGGCCCCAGGGTGGGACTGCAGACCCTCATTACATCTTCTACATCACTTTTACCTTTCCCTTTCACATTTATATCTGAGATTTATTTCTTATATTCCTGCAGCCACTATTTCCAGCACCCAGCGAGTGAATTACCTTCATCACCCCCAGCAGAGCTCCTCACTCCAAAACAACTTCTTCTACCTGGGGGAGATGCTGTGCCCTGCCCCAGCCTCCACCACACTCCTCAGTAAATTAGCCATGGAAAAGTCCTCCCTTGCAGCCTTTGGCAGTTGGAGTATTTAAATAAAACCACACAGCTTTCCTTGGATGGAATAACAGATTTCTCCTCTGTGTTACTGGGTTCGATATCAGTGGTTTGCCTCTCATGTATCACAGCTCATTTCAGGTCTGGTGATACAGTAATAGCTTCAATTGTGCCTTGAGGTCAAGGACAGACATTGATTCCTTTAAACAAATCCTGCTATTAATTAGAGGTGGGCTTGCCCTGAAATACCTGCCCTTTGTGGGACAGAAGAACTGGCACCAGGTATTTTCCTGATGACTCTGCTGAGGGGGTTGGTCAGTGGAGAGTGAACCCTGACCACAGGATGAAGAAGGGTTGGGGGGACACCCCTGCTGGGCTTCCCCCAGATGCACATCCAGCCAGGACAACCTCAAGGATAACCTCAGAGACAACCTCATGGATAACTAAAGAACAACCTCGAGGATAACCCCAAGAACAACCTCGAGGATAACCACAGGACAATCTCAAGGACAACCACAGAACAACTTCAAGGATGACCTCAAGGGTAACACCTTCTGTCTCAGCACCTTCACTCCACTTCCCATCAATCCTCTTCCCACATCTTTCTCTTCTTTCCTTTTTAAAGCCTCACCGATTCCTTTTAAGTGAAGATGATTTCCCAAAGTCTCCCAGGCCATTTCCCATGTCTATAACTGGTTTATTACTCAGGCAATATGGCCAAAACACTCACCTGTCCCCTCTCCAAGACCTCAAACACACCAAACCAACTCCCTGAAGTCCTCCCTGCCGAGCACACACTCATTTCCTGGCTACCACTGGCTCACCTGAATGAAATCAATGAGTTTGTACAAGTAGCAGAGCTGTCAAGGAAAGCCTTTTTCATATCAGACATTTGATTAAAGTATTTCAAGCAAAAATAAACAAAGAACTTGGATCTGGGGGGAAAAGTCCTAGACAAGGGATGGTGGGAAGCCCTGTGGTATCAGCCAGGACCAGGGCACAGGGGATGTCCTGGGGTGGTCAGGTCTTCACCCAAAGGTGTTTGTCTGTAAGCAACAGGGGGGGAGGCAGGCAGGGGATGTACAAAGCTGAGCGTGGTCCTGAGTGAAAAACCAGAGAAAAACACAAAGCAAAGGCAGGATGAGCTCAGGCAGCTGCCCAGGAGTTGCAGAGTTATCCATCACTGTCAGGGCTCCCTTCCCTGCAGGAGCCATCCCAGCCACTCAGAACACGGGCAGAGCTGCTCCTGGGCCTTAAGGATCTCCTTCACAGGAGACAGCAGTAACTACAGCACAACAAAAATCCTCCCTCCCTTTTTTTTTTTTATTTTCAACGGTCTCATCACACTGAAAACTTGCCAGGGTTTGTGACAGCACTTTTACATAAAGTTACGAGAATTCAGATTTTCCACCAGAAATCACATTAGCAGATAGTTGAGTGAGAAGGTCAACATTTAATATGTCCCCATCATGCACCTGCTTTTAAGTATAAAATGGAATATTGGATAAAGAGGGTTTAAAATAAAACCTGTCTCCAGCTTTGTGCTTGGGGCACCTTCACGTGGTGCTGCAGCCGCCGGGGTTGGGTTAAATTTGTTGTTGGTTGTACCAGGATCCAAAACACAACTAAAATAATGTGTCTGTTGTGCTTAGGGAAATTGAGCTGATAACTGTGGGCACAGGGAAGACTGGGAGGAAAGACAGCTCTAAAGGCTGAGACATCTGGATTATGCGTTATATTCAACAGGATCATCAAGTCCAACTCCTGGCCCTGCACAGGTCACCCCCAAAATCCCACCATGTGCCCCAGAGTAATGCCCAAATACTCCTTGGGCTCTGGAAGGTTGCTGGGCAGGGAGGGTGGCAAGGAAAGTGATTGTGCTGCAGGTTCTTCTTGCACTGAGCAGCAAGATCTGTACTTCGGCAGCACCTAAATCTGTATTTTCGTGTCCAGGCAGCAGAGCAGGAGCCTGTGAGTGACTTTGCCTGCCCTGCCTCTCCCATGGCAGCACCAGGAAAAGGCAGCAGGTAGGCATGGGAGAGTTACCTGCACAGGCAACAGTGAGGTTTGGGGTCAACAGCATCCTTTTGGGGGGTCTTTTGCAGCACCAGCTCAATATCTAAACATTTCATCTCCCAGGACAAGCTGTGGCTCCCATCCTGCTGCCAACCAGCCCAGCTGCTCCCAGCTCACCCTTTGCAGAAGTTACTGTTTGTAGGCACAAACGGGCAAAAAAAATGTTGGTTTTCTTTGCAAAGACTTCACCCCATCCCGTCCCTCCAGCCCCCGGGTGGGAGCACTGCTGGGTCCCCACCAGGAAAACCACAGAGATTATCCACCAGGAGAGAGGGTGAAGCATCCACAGCTGTGCAGGGAGAGAAAGCAATAAATAACAAATGAGATCTGATTAAGTAACATAACATTACTCTCCACATAAAAGCGGATTATTCTGCGTGCAGTGATAAATCACACCTTTGTGTTTCACCAGAGCTGCAACACGTGGAGCTCAGGCTGAACCTGCCAGCTTTTGGGGGTACCTGGACCCCAAGGTTCACCTCCAGCAGCTCAGGTGGAAACCTCTCAAGTTCTAAGTCTCCTGGTTCTCCCGAAAGCAGCTGCAGGCAGGGAACAGAGGTGTTGGCTGTGCGGGCAGCACATCATTTGTTCCCACCTGGGAAAGGCCCCCCCGGTCCGCAGCTGGGTCACATTTTGCTTTTAAGCGTTGCTTGATTGTAATCACCCTCTCGGCGTTTTGAGCAAACCGGGTGAGAGGAGTCTGCCAAAAAAAGCACCAGCCCCCGCGCCCAGCTGAGAACAGGCAAAGTTGGGCAAAACACGGACAGAAAGCAAAGGCTGACAGGAAAAAAACAAAGCGAAAGACTAAAAGAACAGGAGCTGGGTTTTGGTTCTCATGGCTCTGGGGCAGATTTACACCCGGGAGTAAAGACAAGAGCAGCGGGTCCCTCCCGGGGCTGGGGCTGCAGCCCCTCGGAGCCCGCAGGGTTTGGGCTTTCCCGGCTCGGCAGCGCTGGAACAGCAACTGCTCCATCTGCTGGGAACGGCCCGGAGGGTGCGGAGGAGGGAGCGGAGCGGCCACGGAGCAGCGGCGATGCCCCGGCCAGGGCGGACACGAGGGGCTCCTACTGCCCCAGGAGGGAGCAAACCACCCCAAAAAGGGACAAGTCACTCCAGAAGGGGTCAAATCACCCCAGGAGGGATCAAATCACCCCAGAAGGGATCAAACTGCCCCAGAAGGGATCAGACCACCCCAAAAAGGAATAAATCACTCCAAAAGAGATCAAACTGCTCCAGAAGGGATCAAACTATCCCAGAAGGGATCAGACCACCCCAAAAAGGAACAAATCACTCCAAAAGAGATCAAACTGCTCCAGAAGGGATCAAACCACCCCAAAAAGGGACAAGTCACTCCAGAAGAGATCAAACTGCCCCAGAAGGGATCAAACCACACCAGAAGGGATCAAGTCACCTCAGAATGGATCAAACTGCCCCAAAAGGGATCAAGTCACCCCAAAAGGGAACAAATCACTCCAGAAGGGATTAAGTCACCCCAAAATGGATCAAACTGCTCCAGAAGGGATCAAGTCACCCCAAAAAGGAACAAATCACTCCAAAAGAGATCAAACTGCCCCAGAACAGATCAAACTATCCCCAAAGGGTTCAGACTGCCCCAGAAGGGATCAAACCATCTCAAAAAGGGACAAGTCACTCCAAAAGAGATCAAACTGCCCCAGGAGGGATCAAACCACCCCAAAAAGGGACAAATCACTCCCAAAGATATCACACTACCCTAGAAGGGATCAAATCACCCCAGAAGGGATCAAACTATCCCAGAAGGGATCAAGTCACCCCAAAAAGGAACAAATCACTCCCAAAAAGATCAAACTGCCCCAGAAGGGATCAAACTATCCCAGAAGACATCAGACTGCCCCAGAAGAGATTAAACCACACCAGAAGAAGGATCAAGTCACCCCAGAATGGATCAAACTGCCGCGGAAGGGATCAAACCACCCCAAAAATGAACAAATCACTCCAGAAGAGATCAAACTGCCCCAGAAGGGATCAAACCACCCCAGAAGGGATCAAACTGCCCCAGGTTAAATCAAACCTCCCCAGAAGGGATCAAATCCCCACAGGAGATATCAAACTGCCCCAGAAGGTGTCAAACCATCCAGCTGTGGGTTGTTGGATGTGTGATGGGAGAGATGGCCCAAGCCTGGCCCCGCTGGCCCCGTGCCCAGGGGCTCACAGGGGGTTTCTGCACCATCCCACTGACAAACAGGGACAAACCTGGATGCTGGAGGAAGAGGGGAAGAAATACTTCCTTGCTTTCTCAGCATGGCATTTTTGTACCTCAGCAAATTGGCGTCGCCGCAGCCGCCAGTCCTCACCTTAAAATATGGGCATTTCTGTGCTGCAAATGCTCCCCTGCACCACTTCTGAGAGCTGGGAGTGTCAATCCATCAGCTCTGGAGTCTGCTGAGTGCCCAGAAATGAGGGGATATCATCTCCCAGATGAGTGACCACCAGGCTGCCGTGAGCCCTGCCAGCACGGGGGGGAGACAGCTTTTTGCAACTTTGATTTACTGGCAATTGTTGGGAAAGAAGCAAGCGAGGAATGAAAACCCAATATTTCCATTACCGTTTACTTAATAAAAAAATATTGTAGGGAAGTCAGACATCATAAAATGCCCATCCTGGCTCGGTATTTACAGGGTCACACAATAACTCCAGCCAGAGCAGTAATCAATTTTACAAAGCCCTTTGCAATCGAAGGCACAGACAAGTGAGTGCTCAATATCCCCACAGCAGAGCTGCAGCCACATTTCATCGGGGCACCCCCGGCACAGCAGACTCTGCCAGAGGACAAGGTGGCTCCCAGGGAGCTCCCAGGGAGCACTGGAGGGGGATGTTCCATTTCCAAGAAGCCTCTTTGAACAGTTCTTCCTCCACCGTGCCCCAGAGCTCTCCTGCATCATCCACTCTCACCTTCTCTCCTGGATGGGGAAGGTATTTTTACCATCAAGCTCTGGAGTTCTGGCCAGTCCCTCAGGGAGCAGTGCTGCCTCTGGCAATAAAAGACCACTTCTGATGAGGGGGTGTCCCCTCCTCTCTCCCCCAGCATTACACCCCCTTTCTGGGCTTCCTCTGGTCCTTCCCATTATCACAGAATCACAGAGGGCTTTGGGTTGGAAGGGACCTTAGAGACCATCTTGTTCCATCCCTGTGGACTGGTGGGTTTAGGGGCTACCTTGGGCCCACCCATGGTCCCCCTCAGAGCTCTGCTCATGGCCCATAAGTGGCTTGGGCAGCTCCACATGTTCAGCTTCCTCAGGAGAACAGAGCCCTTCCACGGGTCAGTCACTTTGGGCCATATCTACAAGGATTTCCTTTAAGAGGAGAAAGTTCAGGCTGCTGCTGAAGGACATAAAAGCTCATTTCCCTGTGTTCAGACATTCTCCAGCTTGGGGCTCCAGGCAGGGGAGGGTACAAGCCTGTGGCCCACTAGAAAGCCAGACAAAATTCTTTCTTCCTTAAGTTTGCAAGCCCTCCTCCAAAGACATTTAAATATAAAATTTATATTTTATAAATATAAAATATAAAATAAATAAATAAAATACAAAATAATAAAATAATAAATAGGTAAATATTTGTTAATAGTTGTTAATTTTGAGGCATGTGATGCTCATGAAGAACAGGACCCGGGACCTGAACCTCCAGGGAGCAGCAGAAGTTCCAGGGAGCAGGAGGAACTGCTGCTGTGGAGTCAAACCAGCCCTTCTGCAGAGTCAACCAGCGTTTCTTATTTCCCAGTCGATAGTTTAATCTATTTTAATGATTATCAATACTGATGTTGAGTGTAATCACCTTGTCTCATACAATTGCAAGAATCTAAAAGTCAACTTGATTTTAATGGTTTATCATTAGGAGTATTATTTAGTGGGATTAAACTGGTCTTAATTCCTCCATAGCCATTATTTAAAAGCTGTTTGGATGACCCCCCTCATTCTGGAAGGAATCAATGCCCTGTCTCCATCCCATATATTTCCAGCAGCATCTCACAAGCAGCCACGTGATCACCAAGGTTCTACTAACTATTAATATTCATGAATCATCCCTGCTACATTCAGATTTCCTTAAAACACCCCCATCAGTGGCTGGATTCACCTCTCCTGGTGTGATGGGGGCCATTAACACCACCCTGCCCTCGGGATGGCCGGGAAACACTCAGGGACTGCGATCTGGAGAAACTGGAGCAGCCCTTGCTGCAGTGTTGAGCTTTCAGGGGACAGGTCCAAACCTGCTGGAGCAAGTGCTGTGGTACCAGGGCAGCTCTGGGAACATCCCTGTGGCTTCCCAGGGCCATGTGGTGCCCACAGTGGCACAACCCAGCAGCAGTCAGGGCTCATCCAAGCACAGAACGTGGGAACTGGGCTTCTCCAGCAGCATGGATGCTGTCCCAAGGCCCCCTCAGCCCACAGAGCATCGTCCTCCTGGCTGCCCAACTGCTGCAGGGAGCAAGGACACATCACCAGGGGCTTTGGGAACAAAACCTCTGCATCTGACCCAGGCCTTGGCCCCGGAGCAGGAGGTGGCTGCAGACCCAGCAGGGCCGGATCCATCGCTGGATCCATCGCTGCCTCCTCCTGCCTGGGTACCAAACCCACCCCTCCTCCCTCCTCCTCACAGGCACCACCAGCCCTGCCCATCCTCACCCACAGGTCCCTGCAGTGCAGGGCATTCCCTTCCCAGCCCTCTGTCCCTGGGACACCAGAGAATTGTTGTGCTGCTGAGGGGATGTCCGAGGTCCCGCCCTACCCTGGCTCGGTGTCGTGGCATCAGCTCCCTGCAGCCACTGAACCAAGTCTTTTCCTTGTTATCCATTGAATCTTCCTCATTTTCTGTTACCTGGATACTGACAAATATCATTTGCAGGAACTCAGGTCCTGGGAAAGTTTCTTGTGGTTCCCCCAAAAAGCTTTGATTTTTGTAACCTGCAGCTTCTCACCGACGGGGCCATGCCAGCGTTTAACTCTTCACTTCAAATTCCCCCTGGTTTTCCCTGGCATCCCTGAGGTGACAGAGGAATATGTAATCAAACTGTGAGGGAGAACCAGAACAAGGTGGGATAATCTTGCCTGAGGTTTTCGTGCCTCTGGATAAAGCCATGACCCTGCACCGACGGCAGGGACGCGGCCTCGGCTTCTGCTCCGGGAACCTGCAAACAAACTTGGTTTTCTTGCTGTGCTTTTGGCACGGCTGTAAAAAAACCCCCCTCCCACTGGGGTTGTACTCAAAACATCGGGGCAGCAGCTGCTGCTGCTTCCAGAAGATTCTACAGACCTGAAAAGCTGGAAACAGAGGGAATGAGATGCCGGACAGGCCAGCAGTGGAGGTGCTCCTTGGGCATGATGAACCAACTTTCCTTTGGACTGATATCAGTTTTGTCAGTGAGAGGGATGAATTTAGGGAAACCCTTAATTCCCACAGACAGTCAGAAGTTGCAAATTAAGCACATTTTTCTTATTTTAAACAGAGTTTTCTTATTGAAACGAGTGATCAAACCCGACGTGTGACAGCCAGGAGTAACTCCAGCCCTGGAAGAGTCTTCTGAGGACAACTGAGAACTAGCTGAGCTAAATGATGTGATAATTTGTTTAAAAATAAAGCCCCGAGGACATTTTAGATGTTCCCTTTAGTTAATGAGATTTCCATGATAGTTATAAAAATAAAATTAGCACACAATGCCGTTAATCTGGGATTACAAGCAGCACCAGGGAAGAATTAGTAAAATAAATCAAGAAGATTAAAACACTTTGCTTTCCATCAAAGTAGCTGGGATGGATCTGCACGCTGTGCTTTCCTGAGATTAAGGAAGAGGTGATCAGGATCTGCCCTTCAGCCTCTAACCTGGAAAATTTGGGCATGGAAATAACATTTTTCCAAGTATAAGCATTTACTTAACCCATGGATTTATATATGGTCTATCAATAAATAACTATCACTGCTTCACAGTTAAAAATTTGAATTATTTGCCATTGAAAGCCTCACATCAAATCACAGCAACTTTCTACACCCCACATTTGGCTGTTCCACTAACCAGTATGAAACGGGGATAAACAGCCATCCCAAAATAGGATTACACAGAGCAGCAATAAAAGGGGAAATAATCTTTGAAGAAGTGATGGAAGAACAAATTCTAAGGGCATTAAGAAGGAACAAGTCATGGTTTCAATCACCAGCCAGGCAAGGATTGCTAAGCTCGTGTGTGCAGCACATAAATCTGCGAGGAGACAAACTGCAGATTAATTCATGGACTGGAAAGGTTAATTTTTAATACCCTTTACTCACTTCAGAAATCAGGGAAAGTACAGACTGAAACTAATAAGGGACCAGTTCTCTGAGGTGGATCCTCAGAAACCCTTCCCAGAGAAAACCACTTCATTTTTAGTGCTTCTGGCAGGAATTGAAATACAATCAATTGAAGTCATTAGTTTTGGTTATTATTTTTAAATAATGTTATTATTTATTTATATTTACGATTTATTTATACATTATTTAGTAATAGTATTCATTAGGTTTTATTATTTAAAAACAAAATTAAATTGTATCCCTTTTACCTGAACTCAAAGGAAGGAGCTTCATAATCAGCCCATGAATGTATAAAAGGCTCATTCTGAGCTATTAAAACCCAGCCCTGTTATTCATGAACTTAGTGAATTATACACATTACACACATATTCAATGAAATATTAACAAGAAGTTTATTCTTTGAGGTAATTTATTAAAGTTTTCTTCCAACACAACACAGTATTGCAAAAAAAAAAATCTGCAATTCAAGGGGTTTTTTCTTAGTGGTGTTTATGTAACCCAGGAGTCACCAAGACAACACATGTAGAAAACATTATATGGACTAATGAAGATAATAATAATAATAATTATAATAATGCAGTAATTATAACCCTTGGAACAGCCAGGAATTGATGTAGAAATGCTTTAACTCTTAAAAATAAGAGTTCAATAATAATTTAGAGTGATATTAGTAAGAGCTGGACACGAGGCTCCCACCAGGATCCATAACAGACCCTCTGCAGTGGAGTTAATTAATTACAGGGTGTTTGCTGATGTATCAAACATGGAGTGTGAACAAAACAAAGCCAAATCTTACCCTGCAACACACCTGGACTGAGCTGCAGCTCCAGGCTGGGTTCAAGGCACAGGGATAATTCCATCCATCGTTTTTAAACCAATTTGCTCCCCAAACAACTGCATCCTGTGGAATTTACTACACAACCTTTTCCAAACCCTACTCAAGGCTCATTTTCAGTGCTTCTTTTTATCTGCAGCACTAGAAAAGGGAAAAATAAAGAAAAATTCTAACTCCAAG